AACCTCATGAATTCCTATGGGCATCCGGCCATCAGTGAATGGCGTCATAGAGAGGTAATAACAATCATAGAAAATTCCCCGTCACTTTTTAACGCCATTCCTATCTACAGAGGGCAAGCCTTTCCATTTTCTCAGAAATAATCTTGGAAAGAAATAATGATCAGTACCTAAGCCAAGAAGAATCCAATGAATGCAAAACTGAACAAACGGCATCGGTTAGGCTACTCTGACCAACTGACTGGAATCAATGAAGACTTAAATGGTAGTTTGTAGTCGAGAGAGAGAGTTAAAGACATGAAAGTTGAGAGAGTGGTTTCAAACATAATTAGTTAGAATAGGAGCTCAGAGCTGGGATTACGATGCAAAGGCGTCCTATGGCTGAACAAGCTGCAGAAAAGCCTTCGAAAATGCAGTTAGGTCACTAGGCGAATCTCCGCCCACAAATGGACGAGTTGGCGCGATGTAATTTGGGGCGATGTAAGAACAACTCGCACTCTGGTCATTTACTTACAATTTACAGCAACCACATCCGATTGTAACCATCTTTTACTATTTCGGAAAGTGTGCAATGGGATTGGTAATGTTTATCATTTAGTTTACCGTGCAAAACATCTTTTCGACCGAACCTTGTGAGTAACTCGTACAATGGCCCTCAGCTTTACTTCACTTCAAACTAGAATCTTTTTTGAATCGGCCCATTGGTATCTAGCTTGAAGTGTCCTTTCAGTATTTATGGGAGTGGAGAAAAGGGCGACACATGGTACAGTTATCGTTAACTGGTATCACCCTATCGATTCTGACTTACGCCCAATTTTACCTCCCCTATTAAAAGTACTGAGCGCTTTCCTTCTTTTTGGTTTCTGCCTGAATCGTCCCCATTCAGTGGAAAGCCTAGTTAATGACCAATCTTTCCAAGGTTCATTTCATACAAAAAAAGCATTGCTTACTGCTTACCTAGTAACCGTTTGAATTCAATACTTACACAACCTTATTTATGAGGAGACTAAGTTATAAAGAGTTTTCACGAAGTACCGTATATGCCTTAGTGGACAAAAAATCAATCTATGTGATAGGCTGACATTTATCCCCAACTCGGGCTAACGAGCTTCCTGTTTAGCCCTTGGAATAAGCTCTAAGGAAAACTCGTCCACTCGTGGTTCCGTCAAACCTTCAAGGTTCTGGAAAAATGTATCCGTTACATAAAAATAATATATCGACAACCAATTCAACGCGCGGAGGTGGTGTAGTAGCAAATGGCGCACTTCACACACGCATTGTCACGGGTTCGAATCCCGGGTCGATATGCGCCTTGGCCAACGAAGCCTTCCATCCCTCAGGGGCGGTTAATTGGTACCAGACTTGTCTAGGAGGATAAAAGCACCGACTTGTACATTGGCTGGCCCCCGCAAGTCATTGTATAGGCGATATACGCATTCAATACG